TCTAATATGTAAAGAAGAAGTGCCCTTTTTGGGGATTCCTTTGCAAAAATGTTTATGGGCAAAGGGTAAGCATAAATTATTTTTATGTGATGGTTGTCCAACATATCAGAGACCCTGGTGGTGCAGAGATCAGGGTCACAGTATGGTTTCCAAGGCACGAGAGTATGCAGGCTTGCTTATTCTTTACATTACACATCTACACCATGTTAATCTGGAATCCTCTTTTCCAGGATCCACACTACTCTGGAAGCCCCTGTCCCAATCACACTATGTTCTCTGCTAGCTGTGCCCCTCCAAAATCAATGCTACATTCTCTGATAGCTCTTTCCTCACTCTTCATCTCTGAACACTTCTGTTGTGTTCTGGCTGCCATAGTCCTAAGCAGATATTAAATATGTATGAGTCCTGGAAGTGTTAAAGGAGAACTATGGGGTTCTATCTTTTCTTTATTATTGCATTCCTTAGGCTAAATAAGTAAATTGTGTAATTTACCTCTATTAGCCAAAATGCACCCTAAGCCTGTAAACCCTTCTTTAAGATGGTGGGCGGGGCTAAGCACCACAATGAGGAGAGATCCCGACAATGCCTTCGGGATCCTCCCCACTGATCTTCGTCACTGTGACTGACAGTGATTCTTGAGAGCTGCTGCGCATCCACGAATATATGGACATGCGCAGCAGCTCTGTGCACACAGCTCTCTCCTTACCAGCACGTCCCCGTCCTCTGTGCCAGCCTTCCAGACACGCTGCTGTGTAGCCCTTGATCCCCTCCCTCCTCCTCTCCATCTGCCCCGCCTACTTCACGTGTAGTGTGTAGTGCATTGATCCGCTCCCTCCCCAGTGACATAATTCACCATATATGGACTTGCTGGATGCTGGAGAGAGAGAGCCCTCTTTCCCCTCTCACATCAGCTATCCCCAATGATTTTAGCATGTCAGTGTCACACAGGGCAGGGAGGGAGAGAGAGAGAGAGAGAGGGAGAGAGAAAGAGAGAGAGAGAGAGAGAAAGGAGCCCTTTCTCTCTCTTCACCATTTATCACATATGGGCAAGTCCATATGTGGTGAATTATGTCACTGGGGTTCACTGCAGAGTGGCAAGCATCCGATCAGCAGGGATCTCCAGTGACATCATTCACCATATATGGACTTGCCCATTTGTAGTAAATGATGAAGAGAGAGAGGGCTCCTTCCTCTCTCTCTCTCTCTCTCTCTCTCTCTCTCTCTCTCCCTGCCCTGTGTGACACTGACTTACAAAGAGCATGGAGATCACACATAATGCTCCACCTGATGGCTGAAAGAAGAAAATATGAAACAACCATATGCTACTGTATAATATAATATACAAGTCATATGAGGAATTACAAGACTCTGACAGCAACAGGCATGACTCCAAGAGGCATGATGGCATTTGTAGTTTCAGCACAGCTGGAGTGCCAAGGTTGCCTACAACTGATCTAATATTGTATTGGCGTGTTCTGTGCACAGTAACGTCACAGGCTGAAGACAACCGGCCAGATCGGCCGCCATCTTGGCGCATCTGAAACAACATACAAATTTGTCTCTGACTAAACGAATGAAAACGTTTTTCGTTTTCATTTGTTTCGTCTGGAAATTATTTTTTTTGATGTGCACATGTCTAATATCTATCTATCTATCTATCTATCTATCTATCTATCTATCTATCTATCTATCTATCTATCTATCTATCTAGATATAGATATATATTAGGGTTGCATCGATATATATCTCCTCCCCGCTGGGCGCTGCTCTGTGTACCAGTGGGGAGGAGATAAACTGTCACAGGTGGCCGAGACCTGCGGGAGGAGAGCGCTGTGAGCGGTCAGTGTCTCTCTTCCCCACACTGCTCAGCCTTCTGTCACAGATCGGCAGAGCGGTGTGGGCGAAGACAGCTTGCATGGCTGTCACAGGAGGCTGAGCTCCCCTCCCGCACCGCTCGCTCAGCCTCCTGTGACAGCTGTCAGGATGGAGAGTGGTACATGCAGTGAGTGATCGCTGAGTGTTTGTAAAAAATTGAGGACAGAGTATGTTTACTATATCCCCAATTATAAATGAATGGGAAGTGATCTACATCACCTCCTGTTCATTCATGATTGTGGATATAGTAAACATACTCTGTTCTCATGTTATGAATGAACAGGAACACTCAGTATAGAGGCTTCCTGTTCATTTATAACAGGGGCTGCAGAAAAAGAGATTGAGGTTCTCACTCTATTTTTCTATTTTAAAAGGGAAATATCAGGGACCTGTTTAGACCCCTAATACTTTCCTGAAGCCCCTAAAAGTAAAGTAAAAAATAAAAATATTTAATTAAACAAATTAAAATAAAATATAAAAAAGTTAAAGTTTATAAAAAATAAATAAAAATAAAATAGCTTAAAACATTTGCTTGGCGCATCTGAAACAACATACAAATTTGTCTCTGACTAAACGAATGAAAACGTTTTTCGTTTTCATTTGTTTCGTCTGGAAATTATTTTTTTTGATGTGCACATGTCTAATATCTATCTATCTATCTATCTATCTATCTATCTATCTATCTATCTATCTATCTATCTATCTATCTATCTAGATATAGATATATATAGTACATATTCTGTATATCTGTACATATGTATATATTGTACAGTATATACATATATATATCGATTTGCCTGCCAAAAGATATGCAGTTCTGTAGATCCAACCTTGTGGTTTACACATATTCAAACAGGTAACAAACATAGTTCCAAATTCAGCAACATAATGCTGGACTTAATTAGGAAAAAGAAAGCATAGAACCTTTTTAAGCAGGATGGTTACTGTAAATGACTGCAGCGAAATACAAATCTCCCTCTACTGGCTTATCTACAAATCTCTATTTGTAATGCAATCATATAAAGGAAGTTACCTTAACCAGTTGACATCCGCGGTGTTAAACCCCCTTCCCATCCAGGCCATTTTTCAGTATTCAGCGCTGCGGTACTTTGACTGACATTTATTCCGTCATGCAGCGCTGTACTGAAATGAATTTTATACCCTTTTTTGGGGACAGATAGAGCTTTCTTTTGGTGGTATTTATTCACCACTGGGGGTTTTATTTTTTTACTATATTAAGGAAAAATCACCGAAATAAAAAAAAAAAACAGTTTCCCCTATATTAAATGATAAAACATTTATTATTACCCAATTTTTTGGTAAAATATAAAAGACGGGGTCACGTCGGGTAAAAAGACACCAAACATGTCAAGCCTTAAAATTGCGTGCGCGCGCGAAACCTCAAAAAACGATAATACCCAAAATTGGCCATATGCGACGCTTTAAAAGCTTTAACCGCTCATCAGTTTAGTGTTATCAGTGATTGATGGCCCTAAAATGATTGCTCTCACTGCGACGTTCGCGGTGATATGTAACGTGTGTAGCGCAATTGTCATTTTTGCGCGCTGGTGCACCGTGCGCGTATTTACGTTTATATCTGCGTAAACGTGGGGGTGGGGGAGTTAAACATTTTGGGGGTTTTTTTAAACTTTTTTTATATCTGACTTTTATTTTATTTTACTTTTTTATATGTGACTTTTATTTTTTTAATTTTATTCATTTATATATATATATATTTTGCACTTATTGTTATTACTATTATATAGGGGGATAACAATCCCCCTATATAATAGCAAAGGCACACATGGACAGGTCCTCTTTATGGAGACATTAGGGGTCCCTAGGACCCCTAATGTCACCTGTGGACCCCAAAAGAAGCTGATGAAGCAGAGATGTGCTTCATCAGCTTATTTTCTCTGGCTATAGCAGCCAGATGACTGACAGGTGAATGCGGAAGTGATGTAACATGGGCGGACGGCAAGTGGTTAAAGTGACGCTAAATTCAGGAGTTAAATCTTAAAAATGCATTCAAGTACCTTAACTATTAACAAAATGTATCTTATGTGTGTATCACTCGGCTGTAGATCCTCAAATCATCTCAGAATCAGTGGTGACACTGTTCTTACTTCTGGAGGGTGGCTACTCTTGTTCCCCATGGTCCCTGTGTGTGTTGTAAAGTAGTTACCGCTTCAAGCTCACTCCCATGATGAACTACAATCTCATGTTTATTTTATTGTATTGAGATTGTAGTCCGTCACGGGAGTGGGCTTGGAGCGGTCACTACTTTATAACATACACAGGGACCATGCGGAATAAAAGTAGCCACCCTCCAGAAGGAAGGACAGTGCCAGCACCAATTCAGAGATGATTTGAATTACCTGAAAAGAAGAGTGTAAATTCTCACATTTCCTGCTGCACATGCCACTCTGTTGCTTAGGAAGCATCCCCTGACGTCTGTTCAGGAAGCTGACACTTCCAGCAGTGTCAATCTCCTGTGTCCCCTGCATCTCTCACTGGTTCCTCATCGCTATTGGGTCTTGAAGTGATGTGAAGGTCAGTGGGAGGAACCACTGACTGCTGCAGGGGATAAAAGAGGTCCACACTCTTGAAGGTGTTGGTTTCCCAGCAGACTTTGGGAGACGATTCCTCAGGAACGTAGCAGCTTTTGGCAGTGCAAGCAGCAGGAGAGGTAATAATTTATATTCTTCTTTTTGGATAACATATGTATTCTGCAAGCTATTTTGGTAACAGGGTCATGTTTAGATAAACACTTCAATACTGTGCTGCCAAATCTGTGTGTTACGTCATCGGTAAACGGTTAACTCAAAAGATGTGCTCCCGGAAAATGAACAATATATTTAATTTTAAATGAAGAATCACACATGTTTTTTTTTTCACGGTAGTTCTCTGTCAGTTTTTCTAAGCAATGAAAGGGAATTATACTACTTCCTGATGAGCACATGGATGGTAAAAAATTAAGTCATGACTCATAAAAATGTGTAATAATGATGTTATAGTTTATGTTCAATTGGGAGTAAGCTATTGGCATTTGCTGCCCTCCTCTGACCACACCTCTCCCTATGTATACATAAATCTCTACTACAAGTGTACACTGACAGCAGCAAGAGGCACACAGAGGAGGCTGATCCAACCAGCACTAGGTGAGTGTTATTCAGCTATTTGGTTTATAAGGGATATTATAATCTGCTGACAAGACTTTGCAAAGTAAATATTGGTAGAGAAATAAAAATATGTTTGTTGATGTGAAGCTTTTTTTTGTTGTTTTACTTTCTATTAAAAAAACACACATGTAGGATAAAAGTAAAAGAATCTTTTCAGATATCATTATTCATTTCAGATGTATGGTAGAGCCAGTTATACTTCCTTGAATGCCTTGTAATGTGTAAATGCCATAAATATTTTTGATCTTGTACAATGATGTCTTTTATCAGGTAGTCCTTACAAATACAGCAACCATCTATTGTGAAAATATAATACATTTATGCATTTAATTATTTCAATTTAAAAAGAATCTTTCCAAAACCTTAGAGGATAAGCTAAAATGCTGTGTTACATTTGTTTTCATTTTAATGCATGTTTTTGCTTTTCATTTTCTCTGGTATTTCACCATTTCTTACTTACCCCCTCCCCATGTATGCAGAGCAGTTTCTGAGAATGATCAGTTTCAGACTGAATATACTTATGCTTTTATAGGCTATCTTAAAAAAAACATCTTTACAGAAATGTGAGCTGCCATTGCCGACCTTCTTCTGAATTTGTTATATTAATTCAGTGGATTAAATACTTACATTGTATGCGACCTTGGGTAAGGATGCAGAGCTCTGACGTTATTATGACTTATTATGCTGCGTACATGTTGAAGGTTAGTGACTTAGAAAGCATTGAAGCCAAACATGGCCAGGCAGCCTGCAGAACAAGGTCCGCAATGTTTTTTTCTTTACAGTGAATGTCCAGACATTTTTTTTTTAATATAGATAGAGTTAAAAGGATTAGATCCATTTTTACTGTTATCTGGGGCTTCTTTAGAGAGTTTTCTTTTCTTTTGACCACACTTTTACCAGACAGGAAGCAACGATAATCAGCAATAGGGACAAATACATCCATAAATCCTGACAAAGGTTCTAGCCTTCCCCTGCGCTCCTGAAAAAAAAATTCTGTCATTATCGCTGTTAGAGATTTTCAGTCACTTCCTGTATTTAATGGAGCCCTAGAGAGCAATAAAAACTTGAAAGAGGTTATTACCCTTTTCTACTTAAAGCAGAATTTAGGTGCTAAAATAAACTATACCTGAGCCATGAAGCCAGCTTACTCTAAAAGTTCCCCACACACCTTACAAATCCCGCGATCGTACAATTATCGTAAGGTGTGTGAAAGCCGTGCGACCTCTACTACTGTAAGGTTGCACGACTTTAAACTTACGAACATGTTTCAAAACCCGCCGAGCATCGTACGATGTTCGGCGGTTCTGTAGCATGTTCGTAAGAAAAAAGCCGGACGGGCCAGTGTGCGCAAGCGCACACTGCCCGTTCGGCATTGCGGTCATCGGAAGCCCGCCCCTCAGGGGGCGTGGCTTGCGGTCATTGCAAGTACGATCTGCCTATGCAAGATAGGCAGATCGTACGTTTTTTTTAAGTACCTTACAACCATCGCAAGACAAAAGTCTTGCGATGGTTGTAAGGTGTGTGCCCAGCCTTTCAGCCTCTCTCTCCCTCCACTGCAGCAGTCTAAGGTCTTGTGAGCCATTATGTTCTATACACAGTGTATAGGACGTGAGGACTCCAAGAGACATTCTATCACTGCAGTGGAGGAGGAGACAGGCTGGAGGGAGCACTGCAACAGCCGGCCTGGTCCGTGATTAAACTTTTTTTTTTTTAGCACCTAGACAAAAATGAGCACTTAACCTTTGCAGTGCGGGGGTAGCCCGGGTTAAGAACAGTTTTAACTGGAGTTCTGCTTTAATCCAAAAATGAAAAAAAAGTCTGGTCTTCACATATAGTTAAGCAAATTATGCTTATTTTTTAATGGGGGAACTTGGACAGTGTTCATCTGCTTGAACATTTCAGTAAATATGTATAATTATAATTTATAGGAATAATTAGGGAGAAAATAAAATCCTGTTACTCTTGTTATGTTATTAAAATGTATATTAACCCAAAAACTATTTTCTAAAGTCTTCTCCTGTATATTTGGCATTATGTCTAACTGTATACATATTTCTTAAGCAGATTTCTAAAACTGGCCATACACCTATAGATTATCTGCATATTTTCTATGGTCAGAGGGAAAAAGTCCAACAGAATCCTCCATCTACGCTAAACTTTGTGGATGAAGGAATCTCCCACTGGGCCAAGATTCAGTATCTTGCTAGTTGGCCCCGCTGGCGGTCAAAATACCTGAACAATGCCTGCATCCAATCAGATTGTTCAGCTGTTTTGAGAGCCAGTGGGGCTGACTAGCAAGATACTGAAGCTTGGCACCGGGGAGAGATTCCTCCATCCACACAATTTAGTGTAAATGGAGGAATCTGTTGCACTTTTTCCCTCTGACCATAGAAAACATGTAAATTCAGCCAGTAACATAATTTCCTTGCATTACCTTGCAATTAGCAGAAGTGTTGTCAACCTGCAATGTGTTTTCCATCCACTAGCCTGTTAGATAGGCAGCCCAACATTCATCAAAAGACTAGAACAGCAAGTTGACAATACTACAATTGTGACAGCATGCAAAATGTATGCACACTGGATGCAAAATGAATGCACAAAAAAACTCATGTATTTTTTTTAAACACAAGAGTGGAAAGGGTTCTGAAATGGATGCATATTAATATAAAAAAATATCTGTTTATCTAAATCACCGGCAATCAGGGTGACCAGTCATGACTTCCTTATAATCTGGGCATACAGCAACGGTACTCAGTACTCTGTATCAACAAGTACCGAAAACAATATATCGGTACTCATACTCAATACTGAAAAAATGGTATCGGTGCATTTCTTGTGTTTTTCTGCACTAACACATTAATCTTATCTCTTAATTATCTTGTTTGCTATTTGGATAAGCCAATATAAAGGAAAAAGTAATAGTGAAAAAAACTATTATTTTTACTAATCATTTTTGCCATATAAATTCTTGATGGTCCTCATAACAGGGGGCATAGAAAGGGTGCATCCATTGCCTAAATACATTGTGCTGGAAGGTGTCCCTCTGTCACATCTCAGAAAATTGGGCAGTATACACTACTACACTGATCAGTTGCTGCAAGAAGAAGCCTGTCCTTATCTAACATTGGTACAGTCCCTGATCTCTGCCCTTTGGTTACATATCTTTGGCAGCTGACTATTCAGCAACGGTTACAGATTCCTGCTGATTGGTGATACTTTCAAAGATGTGCAAAGATGGGTAACCCATAGCAACTAATCAGACCTCAGTCAGACCAGCAAGGTATGGGTTATTACAGCTTGAACATATTCAATGCCCTGCACTGTCCTATTGAATAAGCATCCTATCTGGTTATTTTCTTTAGTGGAAAGTCTAGTAAAAATGACATCCCTAAGCAGCTCTAGGATAGTTCAGTCAAGATAGGGAGAGTGAGAGACACATTACTGCAACGGGATATTGATCTAGGTACAATCAGCTGCTGAGCAATATGTAGATGCAAATATGTACTCTATAAAACCTTAATAAAGATCTATTGTTAAAAAAAAAATATGTAGATGCAAAGGACATTTCTAGGGTCACTGTTCTGCTGAGCAATGGATGAGGGCACTGGGGCATTTCCATGGACATTATGATACTAAGGTGGGTGATTAGAGGGCAATGGTATTTGCCAGAAGTCTGCTGACCTGGGGAATAGAAGAAGTGATGCAAGGCTGTAGCTACTATGGGGCAAGTGAGGCACTTGCCTCAGGCACAGCTGAGGGGGTGCACAGCAAGGGTCGGCCTGGCTGCACCCCCTTGCTTCTCTTGCCATGGCGAGCACAGGACACCATTAGCAACAGGAGTGCCTGGCAGCCAACACAGCTGCGGCTCGGCAGGGAAAAGAGGAGCGGCACAGGCTCCAGCTTCTCCTCAGATCCCTGCTGCTCTCCCCCATCTGTATGGGCAGAGGACTCTGTGTCCTCAATATCTTTCTATTTCAAAAGGGCAATGTCAGGGGTCTGTTTAGATCCCTGATATTTCCCCAAGGCCCCCCCCCAACAGTAAAAAAAAACAATAAATAAAAAAAAGCACACCCCACAAACTCATGCACACATATTACTAGACATGTGCAAAGACTAAAAATTTGTTTCAGACGAAATGAATGGAAACTTAAAATGTTTTCATTAGTTTCGTCAGAGGAAACAATTTTTTATGCTATTTTTGATTTGGCCACCAGCACATTCTGCACATGCGTGCCACCATCCTGGAGGCGGGGCACATGACATCACATACCACAAACGTCTGTTGGGGGGGCACAATTTTCTGTTCTTGCCTCAGGAGCAAAAGGAGCTAGGTACGGCTCTGATGTGATGTAGGAAACTACACTTCTAGGTTGAGGAATGAAAGAGTCATATCTCCACAAACAATTCATTGGAAAGACACAAGGGCATGTCCGGAGATAGTTAGGCTGATTTACTAAAGGAGCTAAATATCTGTACTCAAAAAGGTGTGTGAATATTCACTTCAATTATCCAATTATGTGAAAAGCAAGTTCCTGTTAATTTTGAATACCCAATTATGTGCAGATGATTTTCACATGATTGGATAACTGAAGCGAAAAGTTGCATCATTTTTTAAAATTAAAATTCTTAACTAGTAAATCATGCCAATTGTGATGCTGAATTGGGGTAAATGTAGACGATAAGAAAAGGGTATTGTAAAATAAATATGCGTCAATGTGCTTTATCAGCTAATGGCACATTTCTGTGTGTCAATGTGCTTTATCAGCTAATGGCACATTTCTGTGTGTCTGTAGTATTTGACAACTGGTTAACAATTCACAGATTACATTTATAAAGACCATGTCCTGCAGTGATTCTGAGAAGTCAGATCAGATGGAGGTTTCCTGCATAGTTTATCACAGTTGTGGAGTGCTTGGGCCTGGAATGTTTTCAAGAGAAAAATACCGAATTATTTCATTTACTCCCCTGGTGTACATAATTCTGTCATATAGCTTTTTTCATTATATACTTTATATCCTGGAAGTATCTACTGAAATCCTGAAAATTGCTTAATTAAATTGTATTGTTCACATTGGTTTTTTTTTTGCTTGTCTTTTTGAAGGATTTCATGGGGGAAATCTTTCATTTAAAGCTGAACTCCAGGCCAACAGCTTAATGTACAAATGCAATATATCTAAAGGAGGTGTTTTAACTGCAAAAATAATTGTATTTCTGTCCATGCAGTTCTGAGAATTACACAAATCTGCCACACAGCTTAATCCTTTCTGACAGGACAGGAGATTTATCTCAACAGCAATTAAGTAACACTTACTGGTCTTGCTCTACGGCCTGTGACTGGACAATGTAATGAGAATCAGGAGACTGATGAGCTCATCTCCCTGTCAGTCTAACCTCTCCTCTTATCAGCATTTGTCATGTAAGCCCTTCAGTACAACTTATTGGCTCCTTGCACTGCTTCCTTTCCCAGACTGAGCCCTGGTATACATGGTATTGCAAGAGATTGATACCAGTTAAAATTCAGGTATTTGCATTGTTTGCATTTAAAAAATAATAATTTGATGTTTTTATTAATTATTACAAACAGTGGCACAACTATAAACATAGCAGCCCAGGTGGCTGCTATGGGGCCTCTTGGTGGAAGGGGGCACCAATAGGTTGTTGAGACAAATTAAACATAGAACATGTAAAGATAACACAGTACTGGTTGGAGCGTTTGATGACAACCCTAATCCTCTGTAAAATCTACAGTGTAGGAAAACTTATGTCAGATGGACAAGAGAAGTCTTTGGGATCTTTGGGTCATTAGCCGCAGCTCAGAGAGAGTTTATCATGGGGCCCCCATCACATTTTTGCTATGGGGCCCCATGATCTGTAGCTAAGCCCCTGATTACAAAGCTTTAATAATCTGTGTATACAGTATATCTGCCTGAAGTTCAGCTTTGACACTTCGTGAGTCTCTGACCCAGAATAAGCATGTCCTGAATCCCGACATTCACATACGTGTTCCATGTCAGTGGATCCCTAAATAGAAAGGGGAAAGGATCAGGATGACAGGCACCTGCACTTGCACCTATGAAAATAAGTCAGCAAAACCTCTCCCATATTTTTCATATTTTTATCCTGACAGGTTTAAATACTTTTTTGCCCAACTGTATATGTATATATATAGTAGGTAGGTAAGTAGGTATAGAGGCCCTTACGGGTCTTGCAGTGGAGATAAGCCAAAACATCAGCATTTTATTGTCAACGTTTAAACGCAGCTCAGTTAATCTTTGGCTGCAAGACCTGTGAGTGCCTGAGTGCCTGTAGACCTAGTTTGGATTTGTATGAATATTTTTGTGGATAAGCAACTGGGCATTTATCTTACAGTCCAGTGGCTACCCCTGGCACAGCTATATTTGCTAATTCCACAAGTATACTGGACATAATCACGTAGCACTTGTACTTTACCGCCTCGCACATCTCACTCAAAATATTTGGATAGATCTCTGAGAATAGACTTTTCCTGAAAACAATTTAACCACCTACTGACTTATACTGAATTGTCTTTTCTGCAGCAGTAATATGGCAAATTATACTGCCCGACATACATATAGCAACTAAAGCAAGCACCGATATGTTCCTATGTTTCATCACTGGCAATAAAAATCTGAAAAAACAAAAGGTAAAAAAAATAAAAATAGTCAGTATCAGTCCAGTAGTTTAAAAAAAAGTGATCAGTCTATTTTTCATCACTTTCATCATTACTTTGATTCACATTAACATTTTCTGCCCAATTTTTTTGCCCAATAAAATACAAATTCTTGTGTTTTCCATTTCCGATAGATCCAGCTTACCTTGACAGCTAATGTTCTTTTCCAGCTAGGCTTTTCTATTTCCTTTTGCCATGAAATGATTAGGACTCCTGTCAGGGTTTATTTTGCCATCTGTGTCCTATTGGGAAAAATTCCCTTCATTTTTCTGTCCTGTGAACAGAAAAGGAAGTAAGGAGAAATCTCTTATCTAATGTCTATTGGAAGGTCTCCCCTTTATTCTTGTTTTGACAGCTAAAATGTAGTCTTTTCCCTTACTTGCAGTCCCAATGCAGGAAAAACAGGAAGATTGAGGGGCCTATTCACTAAGCTGCCGAAGGATCTAGCCGTAGCTTCGGCTGATCCTTCGGCTAGCTTCGGCCCCAGGACCCCTTTGGTTCACTATATATATTCACTATTCTATTCACTATAGCCCGTACAGCTCCCGGAGTTGGCCGAGCGGCTCAGTCGAGCCAAGAGCATGTGCTTCGGCTCTACTGAGCCGAGGTGAAAGGCGAAGCTGGCCGAAAGGCGAAGCTGGCCGAAAGGCCGGCCGACAGCCTGCTACTGACTGCTGCGCGGAGCCAGCCGTCATCTCACGGCTGGCTCCGGTCACTTGCACAGACAGATCAGCGTCCTTGGTTACCAGGTAACCAGGGACACTGATCTCCAGACAGCCCAACTCTCCCGGACGCTCTGGGAGTCTCCCACTATTAGATAGCGGCTCCCGGCCGCATGGCTCACTTCACTTCGGGTCAGTTATTCACTCGGCTGCCTATGGCAGCTTAGTGAATAGACCCGTGAGTCTTATTAGCGGGGACACAGACAGAAACCCTACTTACTGTCCTAATACCATTGATAATAAGAACAAAGGTCACAAGGATCAATAGACAGAGTGGGATTGATTTACTAAAGGCAAATAGGCTGTCCACTTTTAAAGGGAAGTTGTACTTTGCAGGAATATTTTCCCTTAGCATGGTGAACAAGGTGATATTTCAATGCCCAATCGAAAAATGCCCAAAGAATGCCCAATCAAGAGCCATAACAATACAAAAGCAGTATTATTTCTTGTACATAATTGGATGATGGAAGTCAGCAGAGCTTCACCTCATTCACTAAACTCAGGGGAAACTTCCATTACAAAGTGGAAATTCCCTTGCAGTAAGTAAACAGCCTATTTGTCTTTATGTTGATATATGTGTCGTGCTTATAGTAAATCTCACATGCATGGATATTGATCCCAAGTGATAGCCACAACAATTTGAGAAATTTCACTAAAATATAAGCATCCAAATATTATGACTCATATAAACATTCATGCAGTGTAAAAAGGTGTTCAATATCAATGTGAAAATACACACTGGTGTAAAAGAATGCCCAACATTGTAAAGTCTATAGAAACATAAGTGCAAAAAAAATTGAAACATCCAATCTTGAAATTGTGTAGAACTGTAGACCAAATCCTATTTCACTCCCAGGAATTGCACCTCTGTGTACCCCCTCAGAGTGAGATGCTCACCTTAAAATTTGACCCAGAGATAGGTCTTCAAACACTTTTAAGATCCACACAGTGAATATTCTCATCTATCTTTGGTGGAGTCTTCTTCCTTCTCCACGAGGGTTAAACTTCTCCCTTCCCTCCAAGGGTTAAACAGCTGTTTCCCACAGCGGATGTTAAATAGAAGTGAACACAACCATAGCGTGAACCTGTTTGAAAACCATACAAGACTTTATTAAAAACTGCTCACATAAAGATTAAAAAAGTGCCTTATACTCCAAATGTCCTCCATCTTGCTGTCATATATGCCGAATATGCAATTACCTTGTCCCAGCAGAAAGAAGCTGAGAGACAAGCATATCAAATGCTGCACACTCAATGTCCTGATCTCCACCTGCTGACTCCGCCCTACGCGTTTTGGCACTACCGGACTTCGTTTGGATCCTACTTGTCTTTAGTAAATCAACCTCACTGACTCCCTAGTGGGGACATAGATAACATATTACGCTACAGACTGCAATGCCCACAACAACAAATCTAACAGTATTAAAGCTCTGAAAAAGGGTGAGCCCCAATCCCCTGAAATGTGTTGGCTGTGTTTTATACCATCCACTAATAAAATGATCATTGTTCTCCAAGTGGCTGGGCTTTCCAAGACCTTCTATTCCTGCACGGTGCTCCTCAACTACATCCACCGCAATAAAAAACACAGAAGACCGAACAGAAGTTCTAACCCCTCCCCACTCTATCTATATTAAAAACAAAAGTGTTTGAACTTTTGTTTTTAGATAGAAGAGTGGAGAGGCTGATATGTAATGTAAAGCTTGTAGCATGGAGGAGAAATAGGACATTTTGAATGAAGGCCAATGAAGAACAAAGTGGTTTAAAAAAGAGGATTGAAAGAACAAATAGACACTTTTAGTCTTTCTGTTCATCCCAGAATCCTGACAGTTGTTTTTTTGGCAAGAGGAGGTGATGATTAAAACAAATATTTTAGGCCTGTTAAGAATTCTGGGGAAAGTCAATAACTTGCTTAACATTGATTGATGAATAAGATATTAAAGTGATATAAAATTGGGCAGGCCGTCTTCAATCACTGTGTATGCTGGAGTTTGTTATTATGAGCAATTAATCCATTGCCTGCAGTCATTTCTTTGTACTTTACTGACATAACATGAATAACCTTCAACAGCATTTAACTAGAACAATCTAAATATTGTTGTTACTATGTACTTTGTCAAAGTGGCATTGCTATTATTATTATCCTTTATATATAAATCACTCACATATTAAGTGAATAAGACAGGGGTGAGTTACAAATTTCAGAAAGAACAAGTACAAAATATGACATAAGAGGAAAAAAGGGTGGGACCCAGACTTGGACAAAAAAAAACAAAAACATGTTTTGGCTTTAGTTGCACTGCACTAGTTTTGCAATGGTTTATAGCAGATGGCGGAAACCTAGGAAATCAGTGCAGAATCTTACCACTATTCCTAAGAAGTTGAGGTGGTCATTCAGTGGTATCTACCTAAAACTGAAATATATCTTGAACATTTAATATGAATTTGCCAAATGGATTGGAAATTAAATATCTGTGTACAATTTACCTCCAATTAATTCTCTAATAAATATTGTGCTGATGTTTGAAGGGACATGTGGAATCAAAACTGCAGAACTGGACATAACATGGTCAGAAGTATAATCTTTCAATGCTTATCTGGCATTATGGTATACCTCATAGTAAATGCAAAATGGGCAACAACATCAGTGATGAATGGCAAGTATTACATTGATTTATAATTTTAAACCTTCTTTCTTCCTACCCTTCACCCCTGCTTCCTAAAGTGTACCTATAGGCAAATGTTAACGTATGTAAATCAAGAACCATTTTCAGTTATGGATGTAAGTGTTCAAACCCCTGTCAAGTTTTCATTGCTGTGTCTGCATCTTTTCCAAAGACATTCACTGTGTCCTGGGGGGAGTGGAATCTCTCAATGTTGATAGCTGTTCAGGTAACAACTGTCTAAGAGAGGATTTTCCTTTGCTTTGGAGAGATTTCCTCTTACTTCCTTTTTTGCCTCTCAGAATTATTACTCTTTTGTTCCATAAAGATCAGTCGCAGATTTTTATAGCATCTTTTGAAGTATGCGGTTACACACCTCTCGTTGCATCTAAAAAGCTATGTTGACCTTAAACGACCCTTTCTGAAGCCAAAGTCTAGCTTTTTGTTGGAAAGTCTTATTTTATTCTTTATTTATCCATCCTAGCAAGACTCATACACTTTTTCAAATTTTTTTTATGTATGACCCAATAACATAGGATAACATTTGCAAATACATTCACGACAAATGACACTTTGACCTACTGAGGATAGCAGTTAAAGGAAAGTGAAAGTTCACCCTAGAATTGCTCAATGAACATTAAACAGCCATATAACACGTTTCCTTTTTTTTTTTCAGCAAGCAGCACTGGAAAACAAATAGCTATTATCAGTCTTTTTACCATTAAGTTGAAGATAAAACATGTCAATGATCCATTGTGAACTGCTTTGTGTTAAAGTGGAAGTAAATGCAAATTTTCTTTTTCACAGGTGTAGTAATCTTTATATCTAATCAGCGTGCCTCACCTTTTACATTATTACACAGCAGCCTCGAAGCTAAAACAGTATACAGTTGTAGGCACTAAAAATTGGCCATGATCTAGATAATGTTCAGTTCCAGTGGGCAGGGGCATCAGAATAAAATGTATGTTCCTCTGACAATTCTATTGCTCCAACAGCTTCACGTGTTTACTGGAGCTGGAAATATTTTTGTCACTATCATTGCACTGTTTAGCATGATCATATAGGTTTTAAAATATACTCCTGAATCTGTCCAATATTCTACAAATCATTCAATTTATTATTCTGATTGCCCGTTTTTCTACATTATGTGATGCACTGCAGATCAAACATCTGCATGGAAATATTCATTAGAATCAAAAAGTGTTCCAATGGCAATTCTCTCCTCATTTAATCATCTTAATTGGTCATAAGTAACTCTGCCAACTACAAAAAGTAATTTAAAATTCTGTACCTTTAAAGAATCATAGGAATACTTGTCTCTCCTGCTACCCACACTGCCAAATGCCAGTCTGATATTGAGTAATCCCTGGCTGAAGTTTCTTCCAGGACAGATCCTTTCAGGAGTGTCGATATCCTGGTTTTCCAGCAGTCCTCCGTGGTTCCTAATGCTTACTTTCCATGATTACTTTATCCGGTAGTGGGTGGAAGTAAGTAAGAGATCAACACTTCCAATAGTATCAGTCTCAGAAAAAACTTTAGCAGGATATTAATCTGCCTTAAAGTGGTGTTAGATGCATGGGCAGCAGAAAAAGTGGGTATTCCTCTGCTTCTAGCAAATAAATACAACAAACGGCTAGAGCGCACTCACTGCTGGGTAAAAACCTTTATAGGCTATAAAAACGTGTGCAAAGGGGTACAGTGTGCAGGCTCTGACAAAAACAGGGAGAGGAACCCTGTGAATACACAAATAAAATCACACAATGAAAAAGCGCCACTACTGTAGAGAAAACACTCACGTTACTGTTGTCAGCATATCGCATGTGAGCTGGTCTTACGATGCCGGGAGAATATGCAGAAGAACAGTCTGAGAGCTGTCAGGGGTGATTGTTTGAACAACGCGGTCTCAGCTGGCCAGACTGAGCCGCGGCTACACGAGTATCAGGCGATGTCAGTGCCGGACCCCAGGAGTCTGTGCGAGCGGTATCTCGAGGATGTCAAAAACGAGGGGGATGAAAGAGATGGACAAGGATAGTGTCCAATGATGGCGGCTACGCGTTTCGAGGCTCTGCCTCTTTGTCAAGCCTAAGTGAGAAGTGCAGTAGAAATGGCGGGATATCTTGCCAGTATTTAAATCTGACAGCTGGGAGGAGTCAACCGTTGTTCAAAATAAATGTAATTGGTGGAGGAGTCGGGTCTAAGAGGACACTCCCACTTAGGGGCTGTGCTTAGGAGAATAGGCATAGATCGAGCCGAGCAAGCCTATCATAAAACATGGTGGGAGGGGAGATGAAGGGATGAGGAAAAAGTCCGCAAGGACGGCATATCGATGGCATTGTCATCTAGGGGTGTCACCTCACAGCCTAGATTGTCATGTATATGTGTGTGCCTACGATAGATAAAGACTGGATATCTGGGGCATAAAAATTCATATGGCTATGTATTCAACCAAAACGAGGTGAAATAGTAGGTAATGATAGATAAATAAGAAATGTGTGTATCGTAAGGGAAATCGTTAGTAAAGGATAAGGGTCTGTTGGGACTATACTTAGGAAGACTTTTCATTATATGGTGGACCCATCCATAGGGGCAAAAACATGCATATGTACATACATACACACATGTATGTTAACTTACACACCTATCTACACGCGTACATATGTACATACGCTTGTCACCCCATGTCTTCCCACCGGTAAGTGTCTATAGGTCTGTCCATGAGCTTCTAGTTTTGAAGAACATTTTGTAAGCAACAGAGTCATTTTAAACTAAGATATAAAAAAGAAAGAAAATTATGATTTATCATGCATACATAGCATTAAACTTAAAATAATTATTGAACAACCAGTATTACAAATTGTTCATCCTCTGACTGCTCTTTTAGTTCACCCGCCTTCCAACGTTAGAGTAGATGATCTTGGATATTTGGGAATAATGAACATTACATGGGAGCCTCCAGTTTCACTAAATAGCAGTCATTGTACAGCACGATATGAGTTACAACACTACGATGCTAACGAACAACGTTGGAAGGTAAGATAACATTTAATAAATATGGTTGTAAACTTATACTTTTTTAGCCAATGGTCATTGCCAAAATTGAGTTAATTAATCTGCACAGAACCTGATCCTAGATTGGCACACAACCTGCAGCAAAAAAAAAAGCAGGCACATAGAAAAGCCTTGCAGAGTGAACTAATTGTGAAAGCAGCATGTAACAGAAAAACCCGTCTCAATTTAAGTTATAGTTTTACATGTCGTCTACTACTTGCATAGATAGCCAACCCAAAACTGATATTTTAGTATTTGATAGATGCTGCACATTTAAACTAATTGATGGTTTCTTATGTCCTAGAGACTGTGTTAGTTACATTTCTATATTTTAATTAATGGGTGTGCTCACTAGTTGTGGTCAAAATTAGGGATTTCGCTGAGTGACATACCTAACATATCTGGCAAAAGGGGTAGATCACTTTTTAGTACCTTTTCTCCCCCGTACCTCAACAGTATTTTCTGTCTTAATCAATTAAACATCATGCATGCTGTGGGTGGGAGCAGAATTGGCTGGGGGAGGGCAGACAGCAGCAGCTGTAAGTACAGCTGCAACTTTATGCAGAGAGACCGAACTTAGCATGTCAACCATCAAATCATGCATAGTTGTCAACATTTGGAATTGTTAGCAGGGGCACCTTGAAAGGACTGAGAAGAAAATGTGGTGCACATAGCACATTGCCCCATGGCCAATAAAGTGGGCGTCACTTCACAGTGTATGGTTTGTAGTGTGGGAGTAGACAAAGCCTCATTAGTGTCTGCAATAGTAACTCCCTGGGGGTGATTTACTAACCTAAACACACGCACACACCAGGTGCGTGTGATTTACACACAGCAAAACATATTTATCAACCAAAAAGTATCTAAAAGCCTATTTCCACTAATGCCATATATGGAAAAATCATGCACATGATGCATATATAATGCTGCTTCACAGTTTAGACAAAAATGGTTAGCTCATGCATTTACATTCCTGCATTCATCAACGCAAGCAACATAACATAGAGCTAATTTACACAACATCACCTTGGAATTCATGCTTGGCTTTGCACAACACACCTGCTGGGTGTGTACACACTACAAAGGTGTTTAGATTCCACCCATAGATCATGCTGGGAGGGAACACACTACAGAGGTGTATACATGTTCGTGGTGTGTTTATAACACGGTATCGGTGTAAGTAGTTGCAATAATCCCCCATGCATTGGTGGTTATTGGTAGTAATATTAAACCCCCCCAGACTGCACAATCAAAGCAGCTACCGTAATTGGCTGTATCCTAATCCACCATAGTGCTGTTTGTACTATGTGAGAAAACAATTTCAGCTATCTGATATATCACGTTGCATGAAATATTGATTACGTTCTTTGCATGGTGGTTACAAGATTTTTTTTGCAAATTAACAATAGATTACCCACAATCATTTTTAAATCAGAAAATATTGTCTGAAAGGTTAGAATATTTCCTAATTTTTCATGTCTCGTTTGTCTCTTATTCCTTTTCAAAGTCAGTTAGGACAAAGCAACAAACGTACAGTGCTGCATTTAATTTGGGGAAGGATATTGTTATAAAAATTCGAACTTACTTGAAAGGAGCATGTACAGATGATAAGGAAGTTTGGAGCAAGTGGATACAAATAAATGAATCCATTCCTATGCAAGGTGATTTAAAATGGCTTTTTACCATGATTAATATTAATTGTTATTTAATATGAGAGGTTACAAATGATAACACATTACAGCAACCTGTGTTTCACATTTGTGTATAGTATTATTGTTACAGATTTGTTTTTACCTTTTATTTGGTAAAGAGGGTATATGTTAATAAACTAATTTCACTTTTTTTTTAAGAATGCAGACACAACTGAATAAGTCAGAGTTGGCAAACACACCTCCCTCTGTTTATTTCATGTGACTCTATCAGGGTTATTCACAAAAGGGTGAAGAGTTTGGAGAAGGCAGGAGACATGAACAATCTAGGCCAAAATAGCTGATTTGGAATAATTCTCCAATTCAGCTCACTTTCCAATTCGGCTATGTTGTCCTAGATTGCTCACTTCTCGTGCCTTCTCCAAACTCTTCTCCCTTTTGTGAATAACCCTGCATAAGTGACAGTCATTACTGAGTGCACAACTTGCAGCTACTACTGAGCTGTTTTATTAGAAAACACAAACACATTGACACAGAACGATGGAAGTAACTTTTATTAAATGTTTATTTTTTTTAAAATAAGAATTTATACAATTAATTTTAAAAAATGCAAATGATGAAGTTACACATTTGTAAACATAAGCAAATCATTATATTTTCTCTTTGACAATTAACAGCTTTATTCAATGAAAAGTATTAAATTCTGATTGACTACAGTTTAAAATAAATACTTTTTTAATGTATGACAAAATCGAAATGAGAATTTAAAAAAGATCACATTAAATTCAACTTAAAAGACCTTTGTCATAAAAGATCTTGTATTCTGTATTCTGATCAGAGCTGTGTCATCCACAAGGCAACCTAGGCAGCAGCCTTCGGCCTGGTGGATGTCTAGGAGGGGCAACTACAACCTTCATCATTATCATGGAGTAAATAAGGGGATAGTGCAATTGTTGAAAGCTGTGCACCTGCCTGTTACTTTACAAAGGAAATATGTATTTTAGGCAGTTGGTGTCTGATAGGACTATGTCAGTACAGACAATTAAATGGTAAGGCCTCTCTGTGCCTACTGCAATTATTTTCAATGGCAGTTAAAGGGAATAGGGGCAAAAGCTGCTACATTGCCTAAGGGCCCATTCTGCCTTAATGTGTCTGTGATTCTTATAACTGCATGTGCAGGGCAGCCATCAGGGGGGTACGACCGATACTCATGTAAGGGGCCCGGGCAGCCTGGGGGACCCACCCGGGTCCCTTACATGACTATCGGCCGAGAGCAAAGGGCAAGGAGGCGGAGGCCTGGCCTTAGCAGCGTAGGGGCCCAGCATTGCCGCTCCAGCGGCTTTGAGACAAGCAAGGGCCCCATCAGCGACGCTGCTCGTCTGATGTCAGACTGGCCGGAAGTGACATCACGTCACTTCTGGCTGGTCCGGCGGCAGACGAGGCCATGTGTGCAGGTAAGAGGAGCTACGAAGGAAGGAAAGGACTGAGGGGAGGGATGCAGCCCTGACCAGCCCACCTGAGATCCCTTCAGAGCCCACCATAGACAGTCTCAGATGGGCTGTGCAGCATCTATGGTGGGCTCTGCAGGGTCACTCTCAGGTGGGTCCTACGTCCAGCGCGTCACTAAGCCCTGCGTCCAGCGGCGCGGTGGGGGCCCAGCCTAAAGCCCTGTAAGGGGCCCCAAAATTTCGGATGGCTGCCCTGTGCATGTGGTCAATACTAATAAGGAATGTTTAGTATGTTCATACTATTCCCACCAGTGACATGAATGGGACAACCTATAATTCTAGGGTACTTAAGCAATTGCACATCAGTTAGAAACAAAATACGATGCTGTTAGTCTAATAGTTTGTCCCAACCCATAGCACTGACTGGATAGCTTGTTCTGTATAAACAACATAAAGTTATCCAAATGCAATATGTTCCCTGATAGTGAGCCCTTAAAATGTATTCTGCAATGAATTGCTTGTAATAACTAACCTTTATTGCACCTTCCTACCTGGCTGATCCTTTTCTTGCAAAAAATACTTCTTGGTTTGTCCTGAGTCTAAACTAAAGTATCTAAAGCAGTGGTCACTATCTAGAGGTCAGACACAACCCCTGCCTAGTCACAGGTAGAACTCTCCAATCAGCAGGGGGTGAAGCTTAGCAGGGGGAGTGTCAGAAAACTATGGGGATAGACCACTTCTTCCACACAGAGATCAAGGGGTTGATTTACTAACCTTATAAACACACCACGAACATGTATACACCTCTGTAGTGTGTTCCCTCCCAGCATGATCTATGGGTGGAATCTAAACACCTTTGTAGTGTGTACACACCCAGCAGGTGTGTTGTGCAAAGCCAATCATGACTTGCAAGGTGATGTTGTGTAAATTAGCTCTACATTGTGTTGCTTGCGTTGATGAATGCAGGAATGTAAATGCATGAGCTAACCATTTTTGTCTAAACTGTGAAGCAGCATTATATATGCATCATGTGCATGATTTTCCCATATATGGCATTAGTGGAAATATGCTTTTAGAGACTTTTTGGTTGATAAATATGTTTTGCTGTGTGAAAATCACACGCACCTGGTGCGTGCGTGTGTTTAGGTTAGTAAATCACCCCCCAAGTGTCTATTTCTGCATCATGCTGAAATTAGACTTTAAGGAAAATGGTTACAGATGGGTGGACATGCGATTTGATGGGGATCATCAAATCGCATGTCCAGTGACGCCGCTGAATATAGGAATTTTAAATGTTACTACAAGATAATATAAGCCTTTTCTGTAAATGTGGAGGTAATATACTAAGTGATTATACAGTAATTAGGTAGGGGAAATATGTAGGGGAAAGAGACAGTGTACTCTGGATAAAGTGAGATTAAGTTAAACATAAGCTTTTGCTAGGTAAATGATTCCCTCTGGTGGTCAGAAGTAGCACTGTGCCATTTTATAAAGGAATTCAATTCAGGAGTAATATGTGAAAAAAGGCTGCAGAAACAATGATACAGTTATTGCGAACATATGCAAACAAGTTTTCAGATAAGCAGGTTAATTTGCTTGGTCCAAAGTTGCTTTTGTATAGCGCATCATAAAAGTTTGAATTAGCAACATTAGCAACTTGTGTTTGTCTTGGTTTTACCTTGTAAAATTCGACATTTGAATTAGTATATTTTTAGCCAAAACATTTTTTGTTTTTAATTGAACAGGAAACATTTAGAACCCCTGTTCAGTTTTTATTGTTGTTTGTGCCCCCTCCTGTGTAGTTTCACCCTCTCTACGTGTCCTGGTGACCATTGTCTCCGAGACAGACAGTGATAGGAAATCCAAAAATTTCCAGTTGTCACCAGAACAAGAGGTGAGGGGAAATCTTCCAATAGAAACAGCTGTTTTGGAGACAGCTGTCCAAGAGGGTAATGCCAATTACATTGTAGAGATTTCCTCTCACTTCCTGTTGTGTCTTTGGTACAGAAAGTTGAAGGACACAAACTGCAATTATAAACTGGCATGGGTTTTAACCTGTCCCTTCCCAGTCCAGAATAAAAAAACCAAAGGTTTGTCTATGCATTCGCTTGAATTACATTTATTTATGGAACACATGATATTTGTTTGGCTTCATTATTAGTTCTGCATTATTTTTTTTTTACAGTTGCAGACTAAAGTATAAAGCTTAGAAAAACTGGTCAGTTCAACTGACAGTCTCTTTACTGCTCAACTACAACCAAAAAAAACCTACAACCCCTTGCCACTGTTCCTTCAAGTGGGCAGTGATGCCAAAGGCCGATAGGAGGGGGCTCCTAATTATGTGATCATTGTGATTGGTTCTGCATTAATGATTTAAATTGGAGCCCATCCTACTGGTTCCCGATCGTTGATAGTTGATTGTGACCTGTTGGTGACTACTCAATAACAATTCTCGTGGAGCTAATAGAGCACACCTGCAGCTCAACACAGTGACTCTTTTTAGTGTTAAGGCCCAACTCTGTGCTTCCGATAGCCACTCTAAAGATTTTGTAGTGCTTTGTCCTGCCCCTGTGATCCCACTTACCATGTGATATGCTATCATAAGGACCAAAAGTAAGGATAAATCCTGCACTGGAGTCACAACTAGCAATTATACAGATGTTCTAACCATCACCCAATATACCCAAAACTAGAAAAATGTGTTGTCTAAAATTTGGTTCATATTTAAGTATGCATGCATACCTAAAACCATGCAAATTGTGAGTCCTCTTGTTAACCTTTGCAGGAGATCCTGAATCAAGTGTTCAAGACTTTTACTGCATCTATTACAAGTTTGAAACGTTAAGATGTGAGTGGAAAGCAGGAAAAGTCAGTAACAGCAATTATAAATTACAATACTGGTATGTATTCTACATCACAGAACTCCACCTAAATTGCTTTATGCAACTCTGCACTTATTATAATTTGGGGTTTAAAGTGTATATCAAGCCAAACGTTTTAACGTTTTTTTTTTGGATAGAGTAGGGAAGGGTTTACATTATTTTTAAGTTATTGGCTGCATTCATCCTGCCGGAAAGATTTCCTTTCTTGGAGTCAAAACAGAAATTCAGAATAAATTTCCCCCAAATTTCCATCTGAAAAGAGTTGTCACAGGAACAGGTGTCCCCACTGGACGATTTCCCCTCACCTTTTTCTTTGGTGACAACTATAACATTTTGGAATTTCCCTTATGTTCTGCCTTGGTGCCAATGACAAATAGAGGAATAAATCCCCCCAATGGGGACTCAGGCAGCAATTAAAACTTCCTATAAGAATACAACACAACAAGAAATAACAAGTGTCAAATAGAACCCCACTACTTTATTTAAAGCTCACTTGTTTATTAATAACCTTCTACAAAGAGTAGATACCAGACACATAATGTTAAACATATAACATAATTATATGAATGAATTGTTTAGGTATTTTTTGGTAATTTAGTAATCCATAGCCCAGGATGCTGTTAATAACACATCTCCATAGAGAGAAGTAATTGCATGCTCTTTTGGGAAAGCCATTTCATATTGTCAAACACGTCAAAGAACGCATGCATGTCTGAGCAGTGACCTTGATTCCTGGGTGCTGACTCTCTATACCAGCCTTTATACGTCAGAGTCCAAGAAGATTATTCTGAAATGTTTGATTTTTCTATGTAGAACTTTGCTTTTAACATATATAGACAATATATCGAAGGACTAGTAAGCTGCAATATATTCAATTTTTGTTCTTAAGTTTAAAAATGCTTAAAATTAGGACCCATATATGTTATTTATTGCACTTAATATTGCTAGCTTCTAGTGACATTTTGCCAGCCTTTGGTGTCAGCAATATACAACCACTTCCTGCTATCATTAAATGTATAATGTTTGCTTTGAGGACAGAACACATAAAAAGGTCAGATTTCCAGTGTTATGAAAGACTCTACAATCCACACAGGGTGCTTGGTGCACTTATGTTTCAGGTTTTTTTTTATAGACAATGCATAATTTATGTTTATAGTCAAAAAGCTATGAAATATTGCATATCAATATTTTGTACATAGTAATGAGCTCTGATTCAGACCGATCCTGATCATTTCTAGCATGTACAATCTGCCAGTGCTCTAGAGTACTGAAGAGGAAATGCCGACTGCCCAGCATGGAGTATCAGTTAGAGAGACACAATTCGTAAGTGTGCAGCTATTGGTTGTGTAGGACATTATACACACTCTTGCTGGCACACAAGTTAAAAGGTAACTTTTGGCCAACCTTTTCTGGCCATAGTTCTCTTAAGGCTCACAGGTTATTTCCCGCTATATGCTAAGAGCGCAGAGCCATGCCACAGCTGGGACGGATCCCGACAATACTGTTGAGATCCACCCCCCTGGCTGTTTGACAGATGGCTCTGCCTCTCTAGAGGTAGAGCCAGCTGTGCCCACCCCATCCCCCATCTGTTCCTCCAATCAATGCTGGAGGATCGAGAGGGGGAATCACTGTGGGGAGCTGTGACTGACAGTCACCGCTTTCTGCAGGGAGAGAATCGTGAAGTCAGCAATCGGCGGTATGTGTTAGTTGACTTCCCGATCAATAGAGCCGACCTGGGACAGCTTTAGTGTCATAGGTCAGCTTGAATTATGGGGAGGAGAGTTTCACTCACCCCATAATCCTCCTTTAATTAATTAATACATATTAAGTAATCTTATAGTCAAATTATAGTCTTCTCAAAACCTATAGAAATCAAGTCAGCTTGATCCAAAAAATATGTGTTGCATTGATGGATGTTCTTTCTTTATTTTGAAAGGCAAGAGGGGATGGCTGAGAAAAATACCTGTGATCACTACTTGAAAACCAAAGGAATAAACACTGGATGCATATTTGGAAGACAGGAGCTTCAGCTATTCTCCAACTTGTTTATTTGTGTCACAGGAATTCCTGGCATGGATCCAATTAGACCTTCATACTTTATGTTTCAGCTTCAAAATATAGGTGAGCCATCAGAAAATCCTGCTTGTTTCAAAGTGAAATAATGCTATGCAGTGCTATAAAAGGCATAATGACCAATTAAAAAAAAGCCTTTCTTAAATTTGACATGCCCTAACCAATTTTATATAGATTATTCCCAGTTTTAATGAGGCCTACCCTGTCTAAGATACAGAAATTAGGATATTTTTGTAATTTGCATAGGTTACATTACTGTTCTTAATACCTACTGTATAATAAAATGAAAGGACTCTCTAAATGTCATGTGACTATCTAGTAGCAAATATACAGTATATGGTTACAAGGGATGAACAGATTCCTTTTCACAAACCTGATTTGGCAGCAAAATTATTGATTTTACCATCTGCAAAATCCTCAGTTTCTCTAATTGAGCTGCATTGTTTAAATCTGCTTAAAAAATGTGGGTTCCACCTCCAACCACATAAAGGAACTCTAGGATGGATTCCAACGATAGTTATGTTACCTCATATATAAAACAACTTCATTGTGCTTTAGTAAAGACTATTACTATGTACTCTTGAGAGATAACACCTTACCTTCCCCCCCCCCTTTTTGTCCTTCGCCTTTGCTTTACTCATACTACAGCCCACCTCAAGTCAATAATCCTACAGTTTTTTTGTACTGATTTCACAGGAATCCCTACTGGAGTAGTGTCAACTAATGGCTTTTGACCTAGGGTTTCTGGTTACGCAATGAGAAAACAATTACCAGCGGTTAGAGGTCTTAGATGCACTTGCATTTCACTATATTTTAATTTTATCATTATAAATATAATAATGGTGCAGGCTCTATAATAATTGCTCTGTACTTGTAATACTCATCTGCTCTCTTGCTGTAATCAACCAAGGTTCGGTAACCTGTATGATGATGACAAAGGCATGTTTTTTCCCCTGTCTTCCTTTGTTTACTATGGAGTCTATTCACTAAGCTGCCGAAGGATCTAGCCATAGCTTCGGCTGATGCTTCGGCTAGCTTTGGCCCCAGGACCCCTTTGGTTCAGTAGAACCGAAGGGCTGCTGTACGGGCTATTCACTATAGCCCGTACAGCTCCCGAAGTTGGCCGAGCGGCTCAGCCGAGTTGAAAGCTGAAGCTGGTCAATCGAAAGCCTCCTTCTGACAGCTGGGCGGAGTCAGCCATCATCTCACGGCTGGCTCTGGCCACTTGCAGAGAGATCAGCGTCCCTGGTTACCAGGTAATCAGGGACGCCATCTGTCATTACACACTGAGAACACGGCGGGGCCGCTATGATATCACACTGGCCTCTCCGGGTTCTCAGTGGGTAATGACAGATGGCGTCCCTGGTTACCTGGTAACCAGGGACGCTATCTGTCATTACTCTCCCAAACGCTCTGGGAGTTAGGGGGACCAGCAGTTCCCCATCAGGTCCCCTTCTGGTGATTGACAGCAGCTTAGAGGGTGGGTGCAATAGCTAGTTTGCTATTGGCTATTGCAAAGTGAAATAGCCAATAGGAATCTAGCTATGCATTTCTAAGGTGTTTTTTTTTCTGACGGCAGCAGAACCGCCCAGCCAATAGAAAAAAGTTGGGTGGAGCCAGCTGTCACTGCTAGCTCCACCCAATTGTTTTCTATGTTATTTTTTCTACTATTTTAACTGTTTTCTATTCTGCTCGGTACCACAGAGGTACAGGGCAGAATAGCCTAGCCGAATGCCGCTCGGCCGACCCGAAGCCAGCCGCAGCAAGCCGATACGGCTGATTTTCGTCTGTGTATGGCTAAAATCAGCCGTACAAGCCTGAAGTGAATAGCTGAACAGCGTTCGGCTCACTTCACTTCGGGTCGGTTATTTACTCGGCTGCCTACGGCAGCTTTGTGAATAGACCCCTATGTATTTATTTTTGGAAAAAGAATACAAAATTCTAAGTTGAAAAAGAAAAAAATGTATACACTTTTTATTTTTTTTACTTAGAGCCCATTCGCACTATAGTGGTGACCTGTGTTTTTCTGCACATGGAAAACAACACAGGCTCGATAGGCACTGTGCTGTGGAAAATGTAGCTTCACTCATCCATAGTGATTACTTTTCTCTGCCGTTTGTCCCCTGATTTTATGGTGTCAACCCTATAATCATATCTTGAATGGATCACTAGCTGCATATCTACTGATAGAACCTTGTTGCAGACATGGTATTTTCCCAGAAAAAAAGGACACCTTTGACATCTAAATTGAGAATACATACTGCAGCTTTCTGTGGGAAGCCTTGAACAAATGATGGTTTATCAAAACCTTCAAGTGTACATTTTTAGCACTTTTCCTTTAACAATCTGTATTAAAATGATGACCACTGTATTTAATTTGCATTTACAGTAAACTGTAACACCACTTTTGTTGAGACAATAAAATCCCCTCAAGGTGATTAATGTACATTGCAAGGATTTTATCAAACTTTGTTGCAGATACTCATCTTTTTCTGTTCTGAAGTCATAGCTGTTTTTTTTACCATTTTCATTCCAAACTCATTAATTCTAACCACCTGGTGACGCTTTCTATGTTCTAATGAGGAACGTTGTAGTGTCTACATCCCTTTAGACGTACTTAACCCTTAGGGAGAATCTCACCAAAAAGGACATTTCTATTGAAGGGGATGCCTAAAATTGTATTTATATCTTAGTGCTGGCTTCTTGAAAAATATGTGAGCCAATCACCCAAGCATGAAATAACATTTCTGGGGGCATTTAATACACCAACAGTGTACAGAACATCCCTAGATTGCCATATTGAATTGGACCTTTTAAACAGTTTTAGAAAATTACAGTGGCTTCAGATTGAAATGTAAAAGTTAATTTTTAATAACATTCAATAATAAAATGACTTGTGTAGCATTTTTTTCTGCTGTGTTATTTTTTTTCAACAAAAGTAGAGGTTTCCTGCAGTTATTTTTCCCAAAAATTGCTGTGTCTGTTTTTCTAAGCTCAGATATCCATTGGTATAGCTCATTTTTAGAGTTATAGTAAATGTAGTGTAGAATGTAAACAAATTCAGATTCTTATTTATGTAACAGGTAAACCTGGTGCTCCAGAAGATGTAAATATCAGCAAAAGCCAGGGTGATGAATTCATTTTGGATTGGTGGCCACCCAGTGGCAAAATTCCTGCACACTGTTTAGAATATGAGATTCAGTATAAAGACCAAACAGATACTTGGAAGGTTTGTATTCTATACCTTTTTGTTTTTTTATTGTTTTTACAAAATTTTAAAGGCATTAAAAGATTGCAGAAACATCTGCATCGAAAAATACATGATTCACAGTGTTTGTTTTTATAATTTATATGGTTCAGGAGAAAAGCTTGATATATCACAGATTAAGTGGATTGTCATGAACAACATTAGCACTAAAGATTATGATTCCTCCAAGGGGGAGTGACCCAGATCTTTGACGCGTTTCTCTATATGCTTTTTCAAGAAGGAAAGGAGGTACTCTGCAAATCATACAAACATTTAATAAACATCTAATTCATACATTTAGACATATAATGTAAAGGGGGATTTGTGTGCCGACACATTCCCCTAATTCATTTTTCCATAAATACCTGATTTTTAGATGCATAAACCAAGAGAGACATACATTTGGACAACACCAGACACATGCACCATGTGTGTGTCATTCGACAAACACAAGAACTAGCAATGTATGAGTTGAACAGTTCTTCGACTCGAACATTAAGCCCATCTCTAACTCTCAAGATCCTTCTACTTTTTATTCCATGGTTTATCACAACTTTGTTAGGAATGTTTTGTCCTGTAATATTAAAGTGACATTAAAGGCTAAATTCCCCCCCCCCCCCCCCCCCAATACTAGTGTAAAGACTTACCTTAAATCATGCCTTACCTTAATCTGATCATCTTCTTCTTTGGTGTAGTTTTCAGCTGTCTCCCATCCAGCGCTGACTTTTCTGTCCTCCTCTTCTCTGATGTCCCACGGAGTCTGTGCACGCTGCTCCATAGATTTACCTTGTGTCTCTCCCGGCCGAACATCTGAAGTGCGCATGCGCCCGCCCCAAGATCCTTTGAGGCCGCCTGAGACTCTTCAGATGTTCGGATGGGAGTGCGTGGCGAAGACACAGGTAAGTTTAAATCTGTTTGAAAAGGTTTTTTTTTAAAAAGTTTTTGCTTCTATCTACTGCTTGCTAGCAGTAGATAGAGGCAAAAAATGCTGGGGGTTTAATAACCATTTAAACTTTAAAAAAGTCAAAACTTTTTTTAGTTTTGGATACATTAGGTATTTGTTGAAGCTCCTTTCATTTTTCTGTATGTGTACTGTTATATATTCCATTACTTTTTGCCCCAGACATTTGTCAGTTGTACAAATTTTCCTCTCACCTCTTGGTCCGGTGATAACTGTAACATTTTGGATTCCCTGTCTCTTTTTTCTACCTTTAACAATTGGCACTGTGACAAATAGAGAGGGTGAACATCCATAGTGGCAACACACAGTAATAAAGCTTTTTCAGTACAATTAACTGGTCTAGAACTAGTTCCTGAGGGAATCTATTCCATATTTTCTACAACTCTTACATATCCATTCCTTAAAGTGGTACTAAACTCTTAGCTGTGTTTTAGCTTAATTCACTGCTAGTAAACAGTGTAGCATGCCCCCAATATATGTGAATACAATAGAGTAGGCAAGCAATTACAATACTCACCTCCTCTCTGCTCTCAGCTTTCCCAAACATCCGGGTATAGCAGCATGTGTATGGGGAGCAGAGGAGCATGCACAGTTGAGGTTACAGGAGGTGGGAGGAGGAGAGTCTTACAGTGTCAGACAATGCTAGGCAATAGATGCATGCCAGGTACTTTCAGGAAGCAGGGGGTGTTACCTCTGCTCGGGGACCACGGGCACGGGTTCCCCTTCAGCTCGGTAGAACACCGGGTGCCCGGGGTGTGCATGCGCGAGTCGCAGGCTGCGCGCGCATCCCCGGGAGAGCGTGCATAGCGTTCCTGCGTCATCGGGCTATCAGGTGTGAGCCTTGCTGGGGGAGGTTCCCAGTACACACCTTCCATCTTCCTCGCCTGCCATTGGTTCCCGGTGAGGGAAGCCTCCTGGTTGCCTCGGTGACCAGGGGGTGATCCTACTTCCCCTGGCTATAAAAACCTGGCCTGAGATCTGGCTTATTGCTGAGTTATTCCACCTTCTGGTGAACACCTAGCCTCCCTGCTGATCCTCCTATTGCCTGTTGCCCCTTCGTATCCTTCCCGATTGCTGACCCTTGGACTGTCTTCCGCCTTAGAACCTTCGCTGCCTGCCTCGACCCGGATTGGACATTGACTACCCCTCTTGGATTATCCCTAAACTTGTACCGCATTTCCAGACTGTCAGCTGCTTACTGCCAGTGGGTTCCACGTCTCACTACTAGCTCCCTGGGACGTCTGACAGGTACACACACGCAGGGGTGTGTCCGTGGGACCGTGTAAGAAGAAGGAGGCAACAGGGAATAGGACAGTGACACCAGGGCTGCAGGGATGGCTTGAAATGGCTGAAAGCAAGAAGATGTACAGTACACTTCAAGAAGCATCACATAAGGTGTAAAGTCTTTACACCAGCATTAGGTAGAAAAAAAATATGGCTTTACTGCCACTTATCAAGGGAGAATGAATTCAGTTAAGCTAATCTTTCCTTATAGATGAGCTATTGCGTCTTATCAGTTTAATTTTCTTTCGCTGCACTCTCTCCAGTTCCACAACATCCTTTTTGTGAACTGATGCCCAAGACTGAAATGCATATTCCAGATGAGTTTTTACTAATGCTCTGTACAGGGGCAGATTATGCCTCTCCCTCTTTCTGTAGTCTATATCTCATTTAATACAAGTAAGTATTCTGCTTGCTTTACAAACTTCTGCTTGGCATTGCATGTTATCATTAAGTGTCTGGTCTACCTGAACTCCCAGATCCTTTTCAAGTATTGACTTGCCCAGTGGTACTCCCCGTAAAGTGAAGGATGCTGCATGCTATTGGATCTTGTCCCAGCACTGGAAATACAGACCTCAGATGCCGGTGTTATCTCTGTTGCACTACTCACTTTGTCTGCATTTAAAGGATGTATAAGTTATTTCATTATTTAATTAGGGAACACATGAGTGATCATCCTCCAGCACTTTTTATTGCACTGACTCAGAAACGTATCTTTAACGGGTCTGTCAGTTGTAATATCAAATCTGATGGGTTATTAGGGGTAATTACTAGCTGCAAATATTAATTGATCCTTACTGTGGCTCTCTGAATTTGACATGCTTTCATTTAAAAATGCTTCTTCTCCATTTCTAGACAATTGCAGAACACAGGGAGACAACTCATAGCTTTAACATATCTACTCCATCGCCCAGATTCTGTGTCCGTATCCATGGCAAAACAACTAAATACTGTACAGATGATGGATATTGGAGTGACTGGAGCACAGAAAGCTGTTGGGAAGGTAATGTATAAACCACAATTGAAATGCTTAGTCGGAAACAAATGGTGTCAACCAAGTAAATTAAATATATACAACAAGAATATCATAAATATTGTCTCCCCATTGGAGAGATTTCTCCTTACCTCTGTCTGTAACCCATGAAATAGAAAGGAAGTCAGGAGAAACATTTTAAATAGGATATAAAAGAAAATTGTAGATTAGCACACTTCATGTAGTATATATACTGTACCTCCTGAAAGCTTGGAAGCTGTAATGACAATTACAAATGTCGCACCAGTTAGCAGAGCAATACAAAGTGTTGCATGTCATCAGCACAATTGATTAGTTGCTATTGGAAGTATTTATTGTAGCCACATAACAGAAAGGTATCACAGGGCCTCAAGAGGACCTCTTCATCAAGGAAGCAGTGACCACTGCTGTCTTTATAAAGAGGTCCTCCTGAGGCCCGAAAATATCACATATTTCTATTATATAGTCCAATGGTAATAATGCCACTGTGCTGTTGATGTAACTCACTTTATATTCCAAATTGGGACACAAAACTGAAAACATTTTGACAGGTGCTCTAACCATTTTCTGCTCTATGCATCACTAAAAATGTTTGCTGAAATTGGGCTTTCAAACATGTTCTCTCTTGTTTGATATTTAAAGTCATTTTTATGACATGTCAACTAAGTAATGTAAACAGTGCTAGATCAGAAAATGTTAGTGTGGGGAAATGTCTGCTGGCTCAAACCATTAAATATAACTATCAGGAATTTAGTCAAAGTACATTATATTACACATAGTAGTGTGAAACTTCACACCAGATGTTCTCTTTAATAACCCATGTGGTAGACTAACCTGAAAGTGTTTTCCTATGTATCCTGGACAACAAGTTTTGCATTAAAATAACGTGTAGCTCCATTGTAAAGAATTATTCATTTATGTTTTCTCTTTTGTCTGCAACAAATGCAATAGCTTCCAATTCTCTCTTATTTGGAGGGATTGTCCCTCTTTTGAAACCAAATGCCTCTGCCCATCATTCCTACTCAGCTGTCCCTCATTGGTCCAATATCTACTATTTACCAACCAAAAGTGTTGGACAATAGACACCGGTTCCAACGTATGAATGATTGCATCTCTCACAAGTCAGTATAAAAGAAAAGTAGGGCTGAAAGAAAGAACTCTTGGGTTTAACCAATAATTTTCTTTGTCCAAAGAAGTGGAGGTGTAGAAGGGGTGTGACCTACATAAGTCATGCTAAAGTGTGTTCATTGTTCTCATTTCAAAAAGTTGAGATGTATGAAGTACCTGATGGCAGTTTGAATTCTGTTTATTATTCTGCAATAGATTGCAGAAAGTTTCAATCCAATGCTCTTTTTTCGCAGTCGGCAAGTCTTCTGATCATTCATCTTCCCCTTACTCTTCTTTTTTATTGCACAAACTAGGCATCTCATATGAAGGTGTCTGAAATTGCCCCACAGCAACCAATACAATTGACATTTTAAGATCCCACCCGCTATTTTGCGAAGCAGGTTTAATCTGCTTTGTTGTGCAAACCACACAGTTCATAATTCAGATACTTTCAATACATTTTATTGCCCTCATTAATAAGTCTGAACACATTTGACAGTTACAAAAGCAAGCACCTCTTTTATAGTCCACCTCCAGCCAAAATGTGTTCTTTGGTCGTGGACAGAGTAGGGAAAGATCAGGTTTCATAGCTATTTCTGTTTAGTCACCATGACAGTAAGTGACCAAAAACTCTATCTCCATCAAGGGCAAGGATAGTAAAAAAAAAATTTTTTTTAGAAAGTAGAGTAGAGAAAGGCTAGCAGATCCCACATGTTATTATTGCTTGGTTCCCACTGGGGAGATCTCCTTGACTTCCTGCTTAGTTGCCTAGAGAGAAAGTGAGGGGTAATTTCTCTGACAGTGACACGGGTAAGAAAAACCTGCTAGTGGTTCTAACCCATTGACTCTGGAAACTACAGTATTTAGATTCATGGTTTAATTTTCTCCCCCTAAACAAACCAGCCCTGTGGAGATACCTTATTTTTTATCCTTCTATGCTCATACTGTTGTTATATTTTTTTTCGATGTAAAAATATGAACATATTTTAAAAATATTTGTGGAATATCAACTTTTGCTCTGATAAATGCAAAATACAATATTTTTCTGTGTTTTTAGAGTTGTCACCAATACCTGAAATGCATAAGATGAAGTGGGTCTACTGCATTGGTGTTACAGCAGCAGTTCTGTTTGGTTTATTTTTGATTGCAGTGCTGTATGTAGTCAGAAAGAAAAGGTAAGTGTCCACATATAAAATGTAATAATATATTTGTTACTGTTGCAATAAAATGGTATTTCTCCAGTTCAAAGTAGATATAAACCCTAACTGGATGAAATTTAGTTTACTTAGTTGCTTAAATAACCGGGAACATTTCTAGCTCTGCAGGTAAAGATCACACTGCTGCAGATAGTTTCATAGTAATTAACATACAATGTTGTTGATAACATGAAAGGTAAGGTCTGTATGAGGGGGTATGACCACCTAGGAGCCTTCGGCATTGCAAACACTAAATACTGTGTATGTAAGGCATGTGTAATAATAATAATAATTATTATTATTATTATACAAGTTTACCCAGCACTGTACAAAATAAAACTTACAGATATAATACAGTTCAATTCAAGAGAGTTAGGAGGGCCCTGTCCATGGGAGCTTACAATCTAAAAGGGAGGGGCAAGTGGCACAAAAGGTATTAACTGTGTTGGGATAAGTTGCTTCAGAAAGTAAAGTTTAATTTGCTAGGTAGAGGCGAGATAGGCTTCCCTGAAGAGACAAGTTTTCATCGCCTAAAGGCAGACAGAGAAGGAGATGGCCAGACATGTTGGGATAGGGAGTTCCAGAAGATGGGAGAAGGTCAGGAGACTCTGTCACAGTTCACACTCCTGGGGTGTCACAGTCCTGGTCACCCCAATACCCAAAAAACCCTCAATGGACCCTACCGATCTCAACAATCTCAGACCAATCTCCTTACTCCCATTCACCTCCAAACTCCTAAATACGCCCTTCCTCACCAAAGAAACCGAGAAATTACTCATCCACTCACTTGTTATCTCTCGTCTTGACTATTACAACTCCCTCCTCATTGGCCTTCCACTACACAGGCTATCCCCTCTTCAGTCCATCATGAATACAGCTGCCAAACTAATTCACCTAAGCAACCGTTTAGTGTCTGCAACCCCCATCTGTCAATCCCTCCACTGGCCTCCACTGGCCCAAAGGATAAAATTCAAAATATTAACAATCACTTACAAAGCCATCCACAACTCTGCCCCAGCTATATTTCAAACCTTGTCTCAAAGTATCACCCTAACCGTCCGCTCTGCTCATCCCAAGACCTCCTGCTTTCCATCTCCCATGTCTACTCCACCCGTGCTCGTCTCCAGGACTTCTGTCCATCTGTCTCCCACCTTGACTGCCTTTAGGCGTCCCCTAAAGACTCATCTCTTCAGGGAAGCCTATCCCACCTCAACCTAACCGATCAACCATCACGTTCTCAAACAACTAATCCCCACACAGCTACCTCCTCATGTATCTCTTCCCCCTCCCTTTTAGATTGTAAGCCCTCACAGGTAGGGCCCTCCTTACCATCTTGTTTTGAATTGTATTGTAATTGTAATGTCTTCCCTATATTGTAAAGTGCTGCTCAAACTGTTGGCGCTATATAAATCCTGTATAATATTAATAATAACAATTATTATTTAGTTAATACCTGTCAATTAATGACCACTACATAGGGAGACTTACTTAAATCAAACAACAGGACATGGTTGTATATCGGGAGATGCATCTTCATAAAGCCTGAATATTGTTATTTGGAATGGCTTGTTTACACAACAGTCCATTTGATGGATGGAACGGCTGATTTCTATTTAATGCATTTCTTTATTCAAAGTGAGGCAATGTTGAGAAAAGTTATGTGAAATTCATGTTCAACAACTTTATTTAACTAGAAAAAAATAGCATTTTTGGGATCACATGTAGCTAACAGAATTTCATTAGATTATTGTGGCCCTGTTCATTTTCCTCAATATCATGTGGAGTAACCCATTGTGAAATGGACTCTTGCTTCATATGTCATAGAGTATGGCAACAAATACTAACAGTAATTAGGGATGAGCTTCGCGTTCGAGTCGAACCTATGTTCGACTCGAACATAGCATGTTCGAGCGTTCGCCGAACACCGAACATTATGGGATGTCCGCGGTCTGTTCGACCGCGGCACATCCCACAATGCACTGCGCCGTCCGAAGCGGCAATTGGCTACAGTCCTGCACCTGCACCTGCACCTGACCGCATGCCCAATCATGTCTCACAGCTAAGTCCCTGCAGCACACTATATAAGGCTGCTGACACCGCGGTAATCAGTTTCCTCAGTACCATATGGAAGAAGTTTAGTACTAGATGGAATATGTAAAACACTTGCAGTCTCCTCGGTGAAAAGGTAAATCTATAATATATAACGCAGCTCTGTCTCTAAGCAACTGTTTCAAGTTGAAATGACACAGCAGTATAGATGAGAGAATAAGGCTATTACTTCAGTATACATACTGTATAAATGAAAGCTCATAATGTCCAAAGTGGCTCCATTCCAGCATGAATGTATCACACAGACGCAGTCCAGACCAGATGATGCCAAGCGACCGGTTTCATTGGTCTAACCCGACAGCCTCAGAGGTGACAAGATCCCCTATAAAAACACACAATTTTTCCAGCACACGTACCAGCTAGCCTGCAAAAAAAGCTTACACTGTTGCACAACTTTGCAGTAAACATTGTTTTGGTTGCACAATATTTGCAAAATATGTAGAAGCCACACTGCCTCATCAAGGCCCCTCTCTGTAGTGTGGTCCTAACTCATCTATAAGAACTTCCATCTTGGAGCATATATAACAATGGACAAACTGAGTGAAGGTATGCCTTCCTTAAAGGCACAGGGACACACAACAAGCCCAGCACATCACAATGGCAGCAGAAGCCCCCAGTGTGTCCCCACACAAAATCCAACAAAACAAATATGGCAACCACAGAAAATCAATTTGTAACTAGCTTTCAAGGTAAGGTGCACATAGAAGGGCTTTCTACAATACACAAAATTCCCATCACACCTACCAGCTAGCCTGCAAAAAACTTACAATGTCTCACAACTTAAAAAACAGAGGTTTTAGTTGCACAAGTTTTGCAAAATATGTGGAAGCCACACTGCCTCATCATTGCTCCTCTGTGAATGCTTCACTCAGACTGTCAGGTACTTGACTGCCCAGTAGGGATGGGTCGAACACCCACGTGTTCGGTTCGTATTCGAACATTCGAACGGCCGAAATGTTCGAATACGAACTCAAACTCAATGCAAGTGTATGGGGGTAGAATGTTCGACCCCCATACAGCTGCCGGTACACGTAGGAAAACTGGCTGCAGCGGCCTGTGTCCCTTCAAATCCCCCCTGCTCTCTGCGCCTGTGTTGGCGGAGACAGTGGGGACACAGACTGCTGCAGGCCTTCACTGCCCCTCTTACCTCTGCTGCTGTCCCGGCCTCCGGGCCCCTGGTCCGTCCGCTGCTGTCCCGGTCCCCTGGTCCGTCGGCTTCCTCTACGATCCGGTCCGGCCGTGGCTCCTCTGCCACACCCCCTGCCTCCTCTTCATTGCAGGCTGGGAGCCATACCCAGCCTGCTATTGAATATTGTCAAATGCAATCTGGCTATTGCACCCGCTCACTGCCTGCTGTCAATCAGCATGGGGGGACCTGATAGAGAACTTTCTCCTTCAGGCACCTCCTACGCTGAGCCCTGATTGGGCAAAGTCTTGCACCTGACCTGTGGTCAGGTGCAAGACTTTAACAAATCAGAGCTTCAGTGGGCATTTTGAATTATGGAATGTCCGCGGTCGAACAAACCGCAAACATCCCATAAAGTTCGGCGTTCGACGAGTGCTCGAACTGCCGATGTTCGATTCGAACTCATGTTCAAATCGAACACTCGGCTCATCACTACTGCCCAGCACCTATTTTATAGCTGTGGGGAATTGAACCTAGGTAAATCTGCAATCAACCCAGACTTTAAATGCTGAGCACCTCCTGAGCTCTGAGCCCATGTATTCAGGTTAGTTTCCTGACTGTGCTGCATCTAAGTTTACTGCTGGATAATCTTCGTGACTTTGACCTGTTTACTGACTACCCTTCTGCCTGCCGACTTAGTGCATGTTAGACCTTGGCCTGTTTCTCGACTACTCTCCTGGATCCTGATTTTGTACCTGACTGCCAGTCTGTAGCTGACTCTGCTTGCCTGATAATGCCTAGTCTTAGCTTCACCCTCGCTCCACTTCAGTCTCTACCTCCCACGGGTACTTTAAACACAGCGCAGACCCCATTATGTCAATAATAGTCATATATTAAAGGTCATTT